TGTTATAAATTTTTGCAACAAATTTATATTTATAATAAATAAAAAAAGTTTAAAAAAAAATAAAACAAACAAGTTAAATAATTATTTTAAAAATAAAAAAAATGAAGAACCATTGCTTATGCAAGGAACGTTCACCTGCTGGAACAACGTTTTGTTGACAATTTCAATGCCAAGTTGGCAAACTAATTTGAAGAACCACCGTTGAAGATGGTCTTAGATCATCAAAGTAAATATTTTTCGGCTCCAAATAACACTTTATAAATTATATAGATTTTTTTTTTTTTAACAAAGGACACTAAATCTAGAAACCCAAGAAATTTATAATATGTTGTGGGGTCATAAGATGTATATGTCATTCAACATTTAACGTGAATCTTCGCCTAATTTTCATTTTTTTACTTATTTTATTTCAACGATAACTACCCCTTTTTTGTCAAACAACTTATCATTATTATTTAACTTTTCTTAAATAAAATCAGATGATATTCTTAGTCATTCCTTTGACTAACACTAATTTCCTATGTTGCATATAAAAAGTTTTCATTAAAGCTCTAGAAACTTTGTTAGTGTTTGTTGGTTGCAAGCGAAAAGCACTAAATTGCGTTTATACTTTTATATTTGTTTGTCCCATTATGACATATTTATTTATTTCACATAAATGAAAAAATATTAATAAAAATAAAGAGTGTCTTTTATAGATCTTTTCAATATTAATATATTATTATAAATATAAAATTAAAATATTAATTTAAAATATATAATAGGATTAAATATATTTATAATCCTATAAATATTCTAAATTTCATTTTTAGTCACTCAATTTATTTTAAAGAATGATCTTTTAAAATATTTGCATCCATACACTTGATACATGACGTTAAGTGAGATTAATGAAGTATGAAGTAGCAGTACATGTGGATTAAATTTTTTTTAATCTGATTAAACTTTTTTTTCTCTTATGGCTTGAAAAAAAACGTGGATAAATAATAACCTAACAATATCTCATCTACATCGTTTTTATAGAAACACAACTCATTCAATATTGCCATTTTTAGTTGCTTCGTTTCAATGGCTCTTTCAAAGACAAACTCAATCGAAGGTATTTCATTTTTGTCTTCTTCTGTAAAATCTCGAGCTGGACATTTTTGTGGATGTCGTGGTCGTATGGTTTCGTACCAATGCAAGAAGGGACCAAATAAAGAAAGACTAATTTGAAGATCTCCCTTTTGAAAGAGTGATGAGACTTGTGATTTGTTCATATGGGATGAAGATATTATAGCTAAATTTAGAAATTAAGATGAGCATTTTGAACTCAGAGTTGGAAGTTATGGAAGCTATGAGATATTTGAAAGAGTTGTATGAGGATACAAAGCAGAAGAACAAGAATTTGAATACCACATTGAAAGGAGAGAAATTTTCTGGAAAATTGAAAATGTTTTGTTTTGTAATTTTCTTTATGTTTAATATGTATTTTGTGTTGAAACGTAATTGTTGATGAAATGTAGTTTTATGGAAATATATGTATTGTCTTTGTGTGTTAATGAAATGTTGGTTTTCTGTTAAACAATTTTAATAACTTTGGCATAATAACATTTGGGTTTTTGGAATCTGCGCCTCAAATTTTGGCATAGTAAGATTTCTTATTGGCTTTCTGTGACGTAAATTTGGCATAGTAACACTTGTATTTGGTTGACTTTTGTATTTGGTTGACTTTAAATTTGTCAGAGAAACACTTTAAATATAAACTACTTTGTTTTCCGTTAGCTTGACTTGATTTGGAACCTTTTATGACACTAAAATCATATAACATTTATAAAAAACATTGATGTTTTCATAGATCTAAATAAGGTAAACAAAAGAGTACATAATTCAACACAAAAGAGTATATAAGTCATGACAAGCTATGATAACACATAATCATCTAATTACAAAGGTGAAAACTCTTCAAAATACATAATACATAATAAAAAGTCATTGATACATGCCCTTCTAAATGTCATCCCAAGTATTCTTCCTCTTAGCACTAATACCACATGTGTCTTCTTCATTAGGACCAAAATTGAATCATCTGCATTCTTCTCAGGTCCCACACTATCCATTATTTTCAATTTCTTAAGTCTATCAATTTGTCATCTTGGGACTGGAACATACTTGACTTATTTCCTTTTTGGTATCATGCTTTTGGTCTATTGTGATAGAACGATAATAGTAATTATCATAAAATAACTTATAGGATCAATGCTAAAACAACTTACAGGATCTCTCATAGATGGCCTGGAAAAATCTGGTTTCTTTAGTGCAGTAGTAGGCTAAGTCATTTTGGGTCTTTTTCCAAAAAATATTATGACACTAGTTGACATTTGTTTGACAGAAGTAGGTTGTTTGGCAAGCACACTTTGTTTGACCGGACTTGTATCAACATAAATTAGTTGAATGTCTAGTATGACATTTTCTCAAATGTCTTTATCATTCAACAATTGAGACAGGTTTCAGGATTTATCCCACCATATCTTTTAATTCCATCATCATGTTCCACATATGCAGATTGAGTTGCAGGTTCAACAAAAAGTTGAGTTAGAGGTTCCACAGAAGGTTGAGGTGCAGGTTCATCAGAGGCTTGAACAATTTCTTGTGTTGCAAATTTTACCTCCTTACCATTCAAAACATTGTGTTCTAGTATAATCTTCTTAGATTGCTTCAAAAGACGAAAATTTCATTCCAACCTTCAATGAGAAATCTTTTGTAAGTGTTTCCTCTACATTGAACCTAATCACCATAAGCATGTCATCACAACTATCTTCGTCTACTCTACTATCAAGCTCATTTGTCATGTAATCTTTTTCTATGACATGTTCCCTATCCATCTTTTATGTGGTAAACATACGATTGGTTGGTTGACTTGTATAAGTACCATAAACATTCTCTTTCTAGACTCACTTTCATCCACCCCTAAGTTAAACCTTCATAAAGGTTTTCATCAAAATCATGCATTATTTATTCTTCATTGTCTTCAAAGTGTATATCATTCATAAAGTCTTCACTTGATTAACTTTCCTCACCACTTTGATCCTCACCACTTTCACGACCCTTTTGCTTCTCTCTAAACCTCTCCATATAAGTCAACTCACCGTAGATGGTTTGAGCTCAGTATAAATTTCAATTTCACAATTATTGTTCTCGGCAAACAAAGCTATCAAATATGCATCCTAATCATTTCTAAATTGTTTTAGATCTTTTTCCAAACAACCCCTCTTCATGTTTCCACCACATTTCACTTTATCATCAATAAATGCATAGTCTATCCCCTTAATTAGGTCACAAGCTTCAAAGAATGACTAGAACTCAGTGTCTTGTCCACTGAATGTATAATATCCCTCACCTTTATACCTTAACTTTGAGTCTTTTACAAAAGAATCCTTTGTGTAAAATACAACCTAAAATAACCTCATCTTGTATATTACAGATATAAAAAAGGGTAAAAATTTGGCATTTCAACACAAAAATGAACCACACGCAATACAAAATCCTAAAAGTTTATAGTTAACACGCTAATTTTTCAGGTGGACCACACACAGTGCAAAAACATATCTATGTCAGGCAAAAATGGAAGAAACATAAACAATTAGGTAGCATAATAAATTCGAAAAACACAAAAAGGAATAAACATGTACTAACATGTCTTAATGTTGGGGCCACAACTTTCAAACAAGAAAAATCTTCGTACACCCAAACATAAACAAAACCCTAATACGTGATACTTTGGCACACCAAAATCAATGACTTATTCAAACATCTTCAACAGAACCTTAAACATCTTAAATGGAGCACGAACGAGAGAAACCATGATGAATAGTGGACATTTTAGGGTTTATGAAAAACTAAAATTAGAAATATTTGGTATTCTGAAAGTGAGGTATAAAATTCTAAACCACATTTCTTACAAGCCACAATAGAAATGACATATTTTAATCATATTAAAATAATAAAAAAAAATTAAGAACTAATCCACATGTACTGTCACGTCATACTCTATTAGTCTTATTTAATGTCAGAGACTAAATGTATCAATAAAATTTTTTAAAATAAAATTTTTTAAAATAAATTTTTTTAAAGACTAAAAACAAAATTTAAAATATTTGTGAGGAATAGAAAATATTTAACCTACATAATATTACATAATTATCGTAAACATGTTGTGTAACTCCATGACAATTGGTCACGTTATTTTCAATCATTATTTTAAATTTCAAAAATTAAATTAAAATTTATTAAAAATATACACGGTCTAGTCAAAATTGCCACGTGTAGCAAAATTTTATTAAAATAATAATATAAAATATGTTTTGCTCATCCCTATTTATAGATTTTAGCATATTTTATGTACATTTTAACAAATAAATAGTGTAATTTTATGTGTATATTATTTTTCATTTATATAACATAAATATATTTAATTTGCTTATTAATCTTCTAAAGTAAATCAATAGTATAAATAAATATTATTTTAAAATAAAATAATAAATAATTTTAGTAATTTATAAAATAAAAAATATATATTTTAAAAACGAACATAAATTAAAAAAAATATATAAAGAAAAGAGAGTAAATATTGATTTGAATATTACATAATGCATCCCCAACAAAAAAAATATAATATTGAATTTCTAAAAATAGTATCCCAGTCTTACATGGCTGCGCATGTGCCATAACTTATTCATTTCAAGACAAATAGTCATTATTATAACCTAAACGGTGTGTCACAAATTACAAATATATACATACATACGTATACATAACTACTACATTTAATTTAATTTCTCCTAGTATCTTCCATATTTTGTCTTAGTCAATTACCTTTTTTCTTAACCTTCCCATTTTTTCAAACCATAGTTACTTTCCAAGAAGCACACATATTTGACCAACACCATCACCTACTCTTATATATAAACTCTTTGCAACTTTATCATTGTAACATCTTATCCACTATTCTAAGGATCATGATGAAGAACAAAAGGATAAGCAAAAGGGACAAAAAGGAGATTAAAGTTACATATATTTCAAGTCCTGTCAAGGTGAAAACTAATGCTTCAAATTTTAGAGCACTTGTGCAAGAGTTAACTGGTCAAGACTCTAATGTTGCTGAAATTACTACTATGCCCTTGGATGATGAAAGACTAGTGCATATGGATGCTTCTTCAACTCATCAACAATGGAGGGTGGATCGTAATCATGTGCCTCATCAAGATCATACCTTTTTGAAGTCTGGTTATAGTGAGTTTCTTTCAAGACAATCCTTTGGGGAGCCATTAAGTGAACACCTTCAATATGATTTATTGAGCTTTGATATGTAGGGTTTTATTTATTACTATTTTTTTCTTCATATATTATATATTATATGAAATATTTAAATTAATGTGATATATATTTTCTTTTTATGCTTTTTGGTAGTTCTTAATTCTCACCTAATTTGCCACTAAATGCGATATTGTCTATATTTAATGGAGAAGAATCTAAGATGTAGATATCTAGACTGTGGTATGGATAAACTAGTATGTCTAAATGGATAAGTACGATGTGTTAATTAAGAATGATGAATAAGACTTTTGTTTCACACGTTTGCTAACCGAAGAGGAAATTATAATTCTTAAAAAAAAATTGTTATGTAACTTGACATTCATAAAAAAATAAAGAAGATAGAGTGAGGGTTTTTAAAAATATTGTGTATTGATGATCATTATTCGATCGACTTCACGTTTGTTGACCATGTGGTTTTATAATATTTTCTGCTTTTATTATGTGAATTTGTCACGACTTTGTCTTTTGAAGTAGTTGCTTCCTTAGATTGAAGAGTGCGACTACTATAATGTGTATTGAAAGATATAACTTTGTGACAAGATTGATCCTATGATTTTGAGTGACATTAATTATCACACTAAATGGTTTGTGGAAGAGATAGGATAAGATGGTGAAATTGTAGAAAAGATGGTTGATAAAATGATGATTTAACTTTGGTCTCAAGTTGTCAATGCAAGTGGAGGTAAGGAGCCTATAATCTACACCAGGAGGATAAAGCAACTTGCAGCTGCAAGTATTTTTAGGGAAACAATAACACGAAATGTGGGGGTAAAAGATGTTAAGAACGATGACAAATTGAAAAAGATGAAGAACTTAAGGAATATGTTGAAGAAGAAGATTTGTTTGATGACGATCTTTGGTTTTTATGTTTGTTTGAGTTCTTATATAATAGTACTTTAAGTTTGAATTTTAAAACGTGATGTTCTTAATTTGATTAAGAGTTTTCATAAAATATTTTTTTAAGCATTGTGCTTTGATTTTATGCTTTTATGAACCTTTTATGGGTATTGTGTTATTTGTCTAGTTTTACATTAAACATATGTTTTACAGATTATTCATATAATTTGTCCAAAAAATAGTGAAATAGTGATTATCTTGTTATCCGCTATCCCATTGTTGGGGTTGGACGCTCTAATATGCTATCTAGGATTGATAACTCTGGATGACATTGATGGTGGTGCCCAACAAACATGTTTAATCAAGTTGTAGATCAAGTCTAATGGCGTTGATGGCGTCCATTCATTAATATTTGATCAGTTAACATTAATGGAAATGTTTAACATTCAAGGGTAAACCTAGTTGTTCAATATCATTGATGATAATGCTCAACAGTCTTAGTGATCTTAAGGATCTTTGGAGTCTGAGGATCATTGGTGATCGTATAAGATGTTGTTCAACCAACTCCCGCATTAAGCAATATGTGGAAATGGACTTTTGACATTTTTCGCCGTTCCCTTTTGAGGGGGAACTTTCTCAAGGCTTCTTCAGATATTGAGGTAAAACACTTGGTTGATAATTAAATCAGAGAAATTTGAGGAAATAATTTGATAAACGACCTTTTTTAGATTGGTAATTAATATTTTATCACTACCAGATTTTGTCTTTGAGTTTATTTGAGCCTTAAGCTAAAATGTATAGCAAAATTGAATGATCTAGGTTAAAGGGGTGCGATTTTGAAACTTGGAGGGTGTTAAAAGCATCAAAGTTGAGCTCAAGATCATGCCAAGGCCTAAAGGGATAGCAAAAACCTAAAAATTACTTGAATAATCGATTAAACCTAAAGAATAATTGGTTATTGCATTTATCAGAGTCTGCCACCTACAAATAAGTCATGAGGAAATCTCAAAACTAATTCCATAATCAATTATCAAGGTTGATCATTTATTAGAGGCAAGTAATTTAAATAAGTATCGCTTCTTCCCTCTTTTCTTATCCTTCTCTTGCATTTGTCTCCTTCTTTCTTCTTGCTTTTTATGTATGTGTATGTATTGTCTCTTGCAAATATCATCATTATCAATGAATCCCAAGAGAATTATTACCTTTTGAAGTTTGTCAAATGCCAGGTTCTCCTCAGAATTATTTTCATGTCAAGAACAAGGGCCTGATTCAACCGAGAATTTACAAGAAGAATGATTCTCATATCTTACCACACAGAAGATAAAGTATTCTAAGATTGACAATTCTTGAAGTTGTTTGAAAATGCATCTCTGAAGAATTTCATTTGTGACGTTCTAGATGAGATGTTTTCGACTTTAGTGAGGATGTTCTACTCTAGCCTCAAATATGTTGAAGGGGTCATCACCAACAAAGTAAAGAAGCATCAAACCAAGTTGCCACTTCAAGAATCTACTGAGATTTGTAATCTCCCATTCATAAAAACCTAAAGCTAAAGGTAATAATTATTCCTATTCTAATGTTGCTACTTCTTTCCTTATTGATCCTTATGCCGATATTCTTAATCCTTTCAAGGTGAGGGTGGTGTTCCTTGATATTGACATCATCCAATATATGATCTCCCATATTATTGCCCCTAAGAAACATAACTTTGGGCAACTATCAAGAATCTCGGTCTCCGCGGTCTGGAAAATTACCAACAAAGTAGAAACGAATTGGTAAAATGATGTAGTCGCCCATATGGTTGATAACAAGAAAAGGGATATGTGGCTTCCATGTGATGGTATGATAACAAAAATTATGGAACATGTTGGATTCAACTTTGATGGTGTGGAACCAATCTAGGAGTATACTAGGATAAGAAGTGACATGATAAATGAAATGGGAATAAACATTAAAAAATGAGTTTTATCCTACAGACCCAACAAGGAAAAATATATATCTTCTAATGAGTCAGCTCCTCCTCAGCAAGTAAATACATCTCTGTTGGAAGAATTTGATTTTGAAATTCCATAAACGGCTCCAAATGTAACTCTCTTCAATAAAATCATGAAGAGGCAAAAGAATGCTGACAAAAAGATGAATGTTTTGGCTTAAATGCATGCAGAACTTGGAACTGACAGACCTTCTTAGGTGTGCAACGATGATGATGATGATTCAGAGTATCCTACTTAGTTGTGTTTTTTAGCCTTTTTTGTTTTTTATTCCTAGTTATTCCTTTTCTTTGTAGTTGAGTTCAATATTTAATTGATGAAGCGTGTTTCTCACTTTAAATGTGTATGTTTGATGATGATCTATACACTTGTTTCTTTCCATATTTGTCTTTTTATTTTTATTTTTTTCCGCCTTTTAGTTTATGCCAAAGGGTGAGAAATATGCTTTAATAGGGAGTAGGGTATACTCTCTATATTTTTCAAGGGGAGTTTAACCGCTCTAAGTTATCACATTTGTTTCTTTATTTTGTCCACTTAATTGAGAGATTCATTTTCATCATCAAAAATATGGGAGAATATGGATCTATGTGCTTGCATGTATGACACCTGACATGATTTGTTTGGTTTTGATGTTGAGAACGCTTTTAAAATAAGTCTTTATTAGTATTCGTGTCCAAGGCTTGTTGGTTGAGATGAAGACAAATATGAGATCAAGTGGTGGGGCTTGAAGATAAAGTGATGATGCTTGAAGATCAAAGTATCATCTGTTGATATGATCAAGTTGTGTTAATCAATTTTTGTTGAAGTGTACGAAGATCATTGGATGTAGTGATCAAGTGAATGTGCTTAGAGATCAAGTTGTTGTAATTAAGATGTGTTAATCAAATTGTGTTGATCAAGTTGTGGTGATCTAGTTGTGAAAGATAACACCTTATGTTAAGCAACATTTGGTGGATTCAATGAATATCTATGATCAAGAAGTTTGATTTTGATGGTGTTTATCTTGAAGAGCTATGTCAAGCCTCATCAAAAGAAGATTGAAGGTTCTAGTGAAGGGCTAAAGTCATAGATAATATGGCAAGAAACCAGAAGCTTCAGAGTTATGAAACAGGGGAAGTGTAAAAGCTCGTTGAATCTGTGTTGAGTGATCAGTGTGTGTAAAGGTATAAGACTAACTCACAATTATACTAAGGGAAATCACACACTCACTTTCCAGCCCTTTGGAAAGCATCTCTCTTTCTATCGAAATCACCATAAAATGCTTTTTTGCTTAGCTAATTGGCTAAGAACTCAAAAAAGTTCTTTATAAAGGCTTTTTACACTATATAATTGATTAGCCTTTATACATAATTGATTATTACCTTTTTGTAATGCCTCATAATAAACTATTAGGGTTAATAGTCTATTAGTAACGACTCTTTTGAAAACCATCCATTTTTGAACCTCATGGTTATAAGAATTGCATAATCGATTATGAGACTTGCATAATTGATTATCAACCTTTAAAATCCCATAGATTGTTTCCGTATTTGAACCATATTTTGTATTATAAATAGAGGACTCATTTCTCTTTTCTAACACACCAGAAAATATATTGAAATACCTTTATCTCACTTTTCTCTCTTTTTATTTTCTCAAATTTTCTTTAGTTCTTTTGAGAGTGGAACCAATATATTTGTCAGGTGTTCTTGTCTAGTGTAAGGTCATAATTATAAATTCTTGTTGGGAGAAATTTTGTTTTGGTTGTGAGCTAAACCAAGTGAAAAGCTCTTGTTTAGTTGTTGAGGAAAACCAAGTAAAACTTATGTTTGTTTAGGGAGTTATACGTTATTCAAACTCTTAATTGGTTTTAGAATTTAGCTTGTTGTTAAAAACTCTAAGTTATTTTGGACATCTCCATAGTTAAATCTTTGTCTTGGTTTGGAAGTTATTCATTGTAAGAATTCAATCCTTGTATGAGGAGGTTCATTGGAATAACCTTTCAAAAGCTCTCATCATAGTGGAAACTCTCAAGAAGGAATTATTGGGAAGAGGATTAAGTTACTTTATTAGACTGAACCTCTATAGCTCTGGTACTTTTTTCATCCCTTAACTATTTACTTCAAGTCATTTATTTCCTCTATAATTCCATTTTCTTATTTCTGCTCCTTTTACTCTATTTATTTTAC